AAAAAAAAAAAAAAAAAAAAAAAAAAAAAAAAAAATTAATAGTATTTTGAATTGCTGATATATTTTTTTCTTGTCTAATATTGTTTATACCTTTATCTCATTTTTTAAAATTTTTCAATCTTGCTCTTAATTACTCTTTTAATAACTCTATTTTATTTGGCTTTTCAAAGAACCATCTTTTGTTTCTATTGACTGCTAGTGTTTATTTTCTATTTAATTCATTACGGTTCTTAGAATGTTCTTTGTTATTCCCTACCTTCATTTTGTTGGTTTACTCTCTTATGTTACTTCTTGTGTTAGACCCTTAGCTAGTTAATTATTTTTAAATTTATTTTCTTTACAAAAATAATCATTTAAGTCTATAAATTTTCATTGAAGTATATATTGAGCTGCATTATACAAGTTGTTGTCTATTTTCATGATACTTCTAAGTATTTTTTGACATCTATGGTATAAGGGAATATTTTATAATTACCTTTTAATATTTTGGGGTTGTATTCAGTTAATGTAGTCTGTAAGATATTGATTCTTTTTTGTTATTGTCGAGACAGTGTCTCACTCTGTCATCCTGAGTAGAGTAAGTACAGTGGCATCATCATAGCTTACAGCAACCTCAGACTCTTGGGCTCCAGAGATCCTCATGCCTCAGACTCTCGAGTAAGTGGGACTATAGGTGCTTGCCACAAAGTATGGCTGGGTTTTTTATATTTTGTGGAGACTGAATTTCAAACTCCTGAGCTAAAGCAATCCTCCCATCCCAGCCTCTCAGAGAGCTAGGAGTACAGGCGTGAGCTACCATGCCCAGCGATATTGATTCTTTAATTTGCTGAAACTCTGGGCTAATATATTGTCGGTTTTGTTAATATTCTTTGTGTATTTGAAAAAATGTATATTTTCTAATTGTTAAGTATCTGGTTCTATAACACATCAGGTTTATTATTGTTTGAATATACAACATTCTTAATAGTTTTTCTGCTTCTTTGATCTATAACTGGGGTGAGTGTATTAGATTTCTACAATATAGATTTGTCAAAATTCCATTGTAATTCTGTGAATTTTTGCATCTTATATTTTGAGGCTTTCTTATTCTTTTTTTTTTTTTTTTTTTTTGAGACAGAGCCTCAAGCTGTCCCCCTGGGTAGAGTGCCATGGCATCCCGCTCACAGCAACCTCCAACTCCTGGGCTCAAGCGAGTCTCCTGCCTCTGCCTCCCAAGTAGCTGGGACCACAGGCGCCCGCCACAACGCCCGGCTATTTTTTGGTTGCAGCCATCATTGTTGTTTGGCGGGTCCGGGCTGGGGATTCGAACCCGCCACCTTAGGTGTACGTGGCTGGCGCCTTAGCTGGTTGAGCTATAGGTGCCGAGCCGAGGCTTTCTTATTCTTAGACGTTCATAATCATTTATGTCTTCCTTGTGATTATGTCTCTTGTCAATGAATAACTATATATTCCTAATAACTTCATGCCTTAAAGTTTATTTTGCCTAATATTAATATAGCTACATCTGCTTTCTTTTGATTGGTGTTTGCCTCAATATTTTTTCTATTCTTTTATCTTCAATATTTCTTTTTCTTTTTTTTTTTTTTTTTTAGACAGAGTCTTACTCTACCCTTGGTAGAATGCTGTGGCACCATCACTGCTCACAGCAACCTCAAACTCTTGGGCTTGAGAATCCTCTGGCCTTGGCCTCCTGAGTAGCTGTAACTATAGGTGTGCACCACTCTGCCTGGCTAGTTTTTCTATTTTTAGTAGAGACGGTGCTTGCTCTTGGTCAGGCTAGTCTTGAACTCCTCAGCTCAGATGAGCCAGCCACCTCAGCCTCCCAAATTGCTAGAATTACAGGTGTGAGCCACTGCGCCTAGCCTTCAATATTTCTTTGTCATTATTATAAAGAGCATAAAAATTTTTTAAATCCAATCCAATAGTTTCTGTCTTTTAACCACCAAGTTTGTTTGCAAAGTAGATGTTTACAATCATTGTGATTACTGATAAATTTGGGTGTGTTTCTGGTTTCTGGTTTTTGTTTTTTTTTTTTTGAGACAGTCTCAAGCTGTCACTGTGGGTAGAGTGCCATGGCATCACAGCTCACAGCAACCTCAAACTCTTGGGCTTAAGCGATCCTCTTACCTCAGCCTTTCAAGTAGCTGGGACTACAGGCGCCTGCCTCAACATCTGGCTATTTTTTTGTTGTGGTTGTCATTGTTTAGCTGGCCAGGGTGGAGTTCAAACCCCCCAGCCCAGGTGTATGCGGCCAGTGCCCTACCCACTGAGATACGGGTGCCACCTATTTCTGGGGTCTTATTTTATATTTTCTACACTTGATCTTAGCCAAAAGTCTGAGAAGTGATTATCTTCTGTTTTCTATTTACCATGCTTTTTCTGTTTCTTTTCCACAATTCTATGGGGTTTTTTTTTTTTTTT